TATCAAATAACTTGCATATTGGTTAAATAACTGCTCAGCAAAGTTCAAATGATCAGCATGTTATTTAACTAATTAACTGGTTATTTAACTAATTAACAATTCAAAAGTTCAAATAGTTCAAAAAAAGGTTTGAACCAGTTAAATTGCCAACACTGGATACCGATGATGCCAATGAAGCTTTGGAAAATGGATGATGGAGTAGTTTCTATAACAGGTAGTGTCGTTTTTTGAGCAGAGAAATCGAAAATTTGTTCCAAGGAACCAAATTTTTCATTAAATAAAAAAAAAAAAAGTCATGACAACTAATTGAACTATTATTAAGTTATTCTAATTAAAAATTACATTAAAGTATTGTTTCCATTTTGATTATTTTAAAATTCTTTTGATACTTGATGAAGTATATTTTTTGAAAATTTAGATTTAATTGCTTTTCATTTAATTATTCAAAATTTGGAGTAATGAATTTTAGTGTTAAATATGGCTTGTCAAGATAAAGTAACTTCATCCAGTGAATGCTTTCTGTTAACTTAACGAGGAAAATAATTGATGAATGAAAATTGGAAATGGAATGAAATGAAAAGAAAAAACCTGAAATTTTATAGAAAAATTGCATTTTTTTCAAATCTTTATTCTATCTTGCTTTTATACGTACATATTTTTTCATTTATTAAAACATAAATTTCCATGCTAATCTTGGGCCCTTGTTTTGCATTTTGATGGACAATTCTTCGTTATTTGAGAAAGTATAGCCTGTAAATCATAGCGATAAATTGCAATTTCTTTACCAGTCACACTTTCTCTTTCGACACCCTTATTAAGTATACGTTCAAGTGAATTTGCTCTTTGTTTAATTTATTTTTGGAGAATAACGAAAATTTTTGGATGTTTTTAAAAAAAAAGAATCATTTAATGATGATGTTAGTCGGCTAAAAAGATTTCTCTTAGCATTCATTTTCACGTCTAGAATTATAGTCATTTAGAGATGGGTTCACCTGCATTACATGGAATGACAAAAAAAAAAATTTTTTGCTCAAAAAAACGAAATACAATACATAATAGCAGGATAAAGCCATAGAGTTTCTATTCATAATGCAAATTCTTATTTTAAATTCGAATTATTATTATTCGTTCTATTCGAATTATTTTATTGGAATTATTTGTTTTATTGAATTATTCGTTTTATTCGTTTATTTTAATAAACTTTCAATGTAATTCGAATTCAAATTCATAACGAATTAAACAAATAATTCGAACCATTAAAGGAGAGATATTGTAATAACAATAGTAAATAATAATAACAGTATAATAACGATAATAGTAGTAATAATAATAATATCGGCAAGCCTAGTACCATCTGAAAAGTTTTTTTATCAGTTGGGATTTATTAAGTTCTTATCCGGAATGTATAAAAAACATTTTGTCAAAAAATTTGATTTACTGACGCCATCTTGGAATAAAGTGTGAATATTCTGGATGCATAAAAGCATTTTACCAAAAAAACTGAATTAATGCATTAATACAACATACAAGATGCCATCTGGGAATAAAAGATTACATCCAGGATGTGCCAAAGTATTTTGTCAAAAAGGTGCTTTACAAAACGTCATTTTGGAGTAAAAATTACAAGCGTGAATATCCGGGATGTACCAAAACATATTGCTTTTACAAGTTACAGGATTATATAAGGCGCCAGATTGGAATAAAGTGATATATTTGGATGTGATAAAAGATTTGTTGCAAAATTTGAGTTCAACAGTCAGTCATGAATATAAAATGCCTTATTTACGTTATAATGATTATAATTATCAATTAAAATTTACGAAAACATCATAAATAACAATAAAATTCACTGTTAGTATTAATAAATAAAACCATAAAGTCCTTAGAAAATCTTACCGCAATTCAAACTTCATTTACATGAAATTTTAACGCAAGAAGCTCCAAATTAATTATTTTCAAAATAATTCATTAAATTCAATCTTTAATATTAGTAACTACAGACTTTTATTTAATTCTATTATATTATTATTTTAATTATGAACAATTATCACAAGCACAATGCTAAATGCCGTTTCCAATGTTAAATACTATTTTATAGTTTATGATTAAATAGTAAATATATTATTATCAAAATGCAAATCGGCAATCGGACATCTAAACATTATATTAATGCAAATCATATTCTAAATTCGATTAACTTTAAAAATCATCACCTATTTACCACTCTCTAACCTGTTTTTTCCCACCACATTTTCATTATATGTTATATTCCATGAATTCAACTTTCCAAAAACACATTCCTGTTCATCACATGTTCACAATCAGGACCACAACACTTTACCATCTTACACAACTCCACACAATCTGTTTCGCTTACCAACTTGATCACATTTTTGTTCACAAACATCATTCTTTATAAACCTTAGTAGTCGATCAATGGTTACTCGTCTATTTGCATCTTTAGTATATTATGCATAAATCAGCCGATCGACCTTATTAGGAACCTCCGGACCAAGGAAGTCCAATAATTCCAAATATCCAACGCCACGTCATGCCTATCCAGCACCTCTTTTGCCAACTCGAAATCTGAAACTTGATAATCCCCTTCTTGATATTCAAAATTATACAACTATTTCTGTTCCTTTTCCAAAGAGACTGTTAGTTTTGCTGGTGAGCTTAATTTACACAACTGGTAGTTTATACTTTTAATTCAGTCAACTAATTCGTATCTGGTGATGTTCGTGGTTAGTACTTGTTTATATAAATTAACATTTTTTTTTTAATTAATTTCATTTTTGGCTAAAATATTTGGAGCGCGTATTTAAATGGAATTAAAAAGTAGATATAGAGGAAACAAAAAAAAAATAATTTGCAACCAAATTGATGGAAAATTCAAAATAACACCATCTTCGTTATAAAAATTGGAATTTTGTTTTGTTATTATAGCGCTCGATATATATAGTGGCCTTACATTTTTCGTAATCAGATGAACTTTGTTGACAATGTTTCCGGATACATTGTGAGTTCTCACAAGATTTGTTTATATTTATTTTAAAAATTTAATAATTGCTAGTTTATTTCATATGATAATAATTTTTTTATTTTTATTTTTCATACGGAGAATATTGTTCTGGATTCCAATTACTGCGTGTTACTCTGTTAAAAAAGAAAAATCCCTAAAATTATAATTAATCTATTGTATCTATCTTTATATTACAATTATATAAAATAAATAATTATAAAAATAAATGTTAATGTATAAATCATAAGCATCATACTCTAAATGTTAATTGTTTTATAATATCCCGCCAACGGTACCATTATTTGGAGCAGGTTCAAGATTCAAAACATTTGCAACAATATTATAAACCTCGAGATTTGAAAATGGATCAACTACATTGGTATTTAACTTGGATAATTTTTCTTTAAAGTATGGACCAGATGCCAAAAATATTCCTCTCATTTCAGGTGCCTGATTATCATAACCATGAGAACCATTGTGCAACACTGCAAAATCACGATGAGATGTTAGCACCCAACCAACAGGCGGTATACAAAATATTGGAGCTATGCGTTTTGAATTGCGATAATGATATCTTTCAGGAATCTCTTCTCTTAAATAACAATTCCATAATTGATTTTCACTGGCCTCTACTAACGACGAATAAATTTCCGGTATATCAGAATCATTATATGGTCTTATTCCAGCTAATGGGTATCCTTCAAATACCCGAACTTTTGTAATATCAAAAAAATTATCTAAATATATAATATTTGATGGTATCACTTGTGCCATTCCATGATCACTAACCTAATTAATAAAAAAAAATATGTTAATTTTTATATATATGCGTATATATATAGAATTAATAATTCAATGAACTATTACTTACAATTATGATATTAACAATATCAGTTAAGTTACGAGAAGACAATTTTGAAAGTAAATCAGCAATCATATTATCAAGAATTCCAAGTGTTTGATCAAGTTCTTTAGAAAATGGACCAAATAAATGGCCTGCGGCATCTGCATGATTCATATATGCAGTAATAAAAGTAGGTCTTTGTTCTTTTTCTAAATCTAACCAATCGATCACTTGATTGACTTTTTCTTCTGGTAAAACGTTGCCACTATATGGCATATTGTAAGTTGGCCTATATCCTTTAATTACTGAACTCCCACCAACCCACATTGAAACTGCTGATTTTTGATTTTGTATAACTGCAGTTACCCATATCTTTTATATGGAAAATAATTATCTTATTATTAATAAATATGCATGTATATGTATGTAATAATGGTTTTATATAATTAATTAATTAATTAATTACCGGTTCACCGCCCCACCATTTAGAATCAAAACTTTTTTCAGGTTTTGTATAATAAAAGTCATCATTTAAATCAGGATCATAAAATTCATTTCCCACAATTCCATGTGATTCAGGATAAAGTCCGGTGACAATTGTATAATGATTAGCAAATGTTACAGACTTTTAGAAAAATTTATTATCAATATATGATTATGTGATATATATTATTATTTTGTTTTTTAAAAATAAGTAACAGTAATGTTATTTACTAACCGGAAATACGGGCTCAAGATATTTAGCTCTGATTCCATTATCGACTAAATAATAATAAATAATATATATATTTCAAGTTAATTAATTAAAATTGTTTCTTTTTATATAATTATCATCATCAAAAATCTTACTAAATTTTTGTATAGTAGGGGTTTTATTTCTATCCAAATAATCCCATCTAAATCCATCAAATGATATCAATATTACTGTTGGATTAAATTCATGAGTTCCATTGAAAAAAGTTGTCGATTTTTCTTTTCTACCGTTTGGTGGATTTATTAATAATATTATACATAAAATTATTATTGCTAACAATATCGTGATCAAAAACACACGAAGAAAAAAGATGCGATAACTCTAATTATTTAAATCATATTAGAATGGGACAAATTAAAAAAAAAATTTGATTTTAAATTTTATAATCATTAATATCATATATAACTTATTTCAAATACATTTTCTCGTGTTTCCTCACGAACACCACTTAAAAAACCTTCTCTTTCTTCTCCCAGTGAGCTTCTAGATTGATTTGATTCTTGAATACTTGCAGTTAATTCAATATCATTAATTGAAATTTGATTATGTTTAAAACTGTCATTTGAAGAAATGCTAATTTGAGAAAGTAATGTCATTACTTTTTTAAAAAAATTTATTATAATGTATTTCTTGAAAAGAATAACAACAACAATGATTAATAAGAAATGGTATATTAAAAATGCGACTTTCCCTTAATGGTAAGTATTAATATTGGGTACACTGCGGTTTGACAACATGCATGGCAAAAATTCATTTATGAATTTAACAAATACGATGTATATTATATCCATTAGAATTTGACAAAGAGGAATGGAAAGAAGAACAAAAAAGAATTTTATAAAATATATGAAGAACAAGAAGGGTTTGATGGAGTGGAAGAGGAACGAGGAAAATTTATTGTATATACTACTGAAAAGAAGCCAACCCTTGGTTATACTGGTGGTAAAGTAAGCTTTGTAAATATTTTGGAAATGGAAAAGATTAGCATAGTAAAAATTTGAAATGTTACAATAATTTTTTATATTGTCAAACATAACTTTACAATACACGGCATTCTGGCAATAAAAAGTAAGTGATAAACTGGATTTGAATTTGATCTGAACTTGATCTCCAATTTAGAGAGGTAACGCCAGTGTTGAAAATTCAATCGGGGGTGTCACGTTGCACAAATTATGTGCACGTCTATTTTTTTTAATTAAAAAGAATTATTTATTTATTATTTTATAAAATAAAAAAAAATTAAATTAAATGTTTCTCCTTGT